AAACTTGGTTAAAGATCTGTGCTTTGCATATGCAAGCTGTATCTGAAGGATGCTTTGATGCCTTGTACACATGGGTGTCAGCTTGTATAAGAGCAATGTGTACAGCAGACTACTACAAGGTATTTTCAAACCTTCTAGTCCCATTCAAGCAGTTCTACTGAAATCTGTTAAGCACCCTTCAGCTCCAGTTTGGGGAAGTTACACATGTATTAATGGGAGTGCTGTCATCTTAAACAAGCTGCTAGCAGTCTTCAGTAAGCTCTAAAAGGTCCCTTTTACACGTTGCGGACACAGCAGCAGATCTGCTTGCTCAGCAGGGGATCTGCCTGCTGATCCCCGCTGAGCAAGCGGATGACAACCTGCTATCCTCTATGCATCCCCATCAGTCTGCTTTTAGTGGACAGGATCAGATGCACGTGGGTGTAAATGGACATATGTCCTATTACACCCACCATTCCATAGAGAGCAATAGAGTGTCTGATCAGGTCTGCTTGAAAAACAGACAGGCAGACCCGGTCAGTCCGCTCATATGAAAGGGGCCTAAGATTCACTACTTGAAGCTTGATGAAAGCCTGCTAGCAGCTTATGATTATCATCCCCATAATGGAAATAAAGTTTGCTTCAGATATAACCAAAGTGAAAAGGGTAGACAAAATGGCAGGGTGTTTGCAAGCTGCATCTAGCCTTCACAGTTTGATGTTACACTGTTCTCAATGGTTGGTTAAATGTAGGCTGTTTGAGATTGACACCGCTATGATGAATCCTGCCAAAATGGCAGCAGGAACCACAGCACAGCTCCATAGGAAAAGCAGGAACCCCAAAAAAATAAAAACAATATTCTCTACACATACACTCAAAATTGTTCCTCTGTTAAATAATTTGTCCTTCCTGCAACCCTACTTTTTAACCATTTAAAGACTCAATATTTCCATCCTCATTTAAAGAACCCTTATTACCAATTGCCTTTTTCTAACAGAAGTCCACTCTCTCCATATCCGTTCATCTACATCCACTTGCCATCGTAAACCTGCTCTTACTTTCTACTAATGTGAAGCATTGCAGGTCCCTTTGGCAAGAGATGCGATTACTACAGAGCGGTGTATGGTCTTCATACCAACCGGATGTGTATAATGCATAGCCTTTTAAAATACACCTTCATTTAATAGGACAAGCTGCTGCACTATATTAAATAAAGGACTAAAAATGCACTGTGCACATAATTTCAGTGTTGTCTGGTCTAATTCCCTGATATTGAGCTTCAAAGAGGTTTCTGAAAGATACTCACTTATATTAGTGAAGCTGTGGACTTAAAGTTAGCAATTTCAATGTTCCAACTCTTCTTTAGGACCGGGAAACAAAGCCTGATTATTGACCAATACCCTCACATGCACAGCTTCAAGAGAAACTTGGCTAAAATAAAATGCGTCTTAGAAAGCAGCTAAAAACCTAAACAAGTACATTAAAAAAAAGCCTTTTGAGGGTTTGGAGAGCTTTTTTACCTAGAGGAAGCTTCCAACACCCTTCTTCATTTTACTATTAGTTACTTACAACACTCCACTACAATGGAGTACGCTCAGTACCAAAACAGCAAGGGAGAAGGGTGATGGTGATCTTGTGCTTAGGGGTAGGGGATAGTAGAGGCAAGAGACGGTACTGACAAACCATGAGGCAGGACGGACGGGGTTTCTGAGGATAGATAATGCCCTTGTTCATGTAAACAGCTAAAAAGAATAGTTCAGTGGTTGAACTGGCGCTGCCTAGGCTGGCACACAAAGTTGCGTTGTCTCATTGCATTGCGGCCTTGGAACGCTTGTGCCAGATTTTGTCGTTGCAGATTTTTACGTCCCAGCTTGCGCCTGTCCACCTGAGCTTTGGCGCGTTGGATCCGTGAGACTTGACCCACTTTTCCTAATATGGCGGCTTTGGCAGAGACGGAGGTGGCATGATGAGGTGTGCGTCGTTCCACTCTGGTTTTACTCGGTGACCTGGAAAGAAGGCATTGATGCATTATTAACAACTCTTCTCAGTGTAGTAATTTAAAAATATTTAATTTCTCTACTCACACAACTCTTTGCCTTCTATGTACATGGCAAATTACAGTCTCAAAGTGATGTTTGCATAAAATTACATTTTAATGATATCACCTAATTTGATAAAGAAAAATGCCACCTTTGTTGCATTTTGGCATAAAAGGCTTGGCTCCTCTTATTCCATGCAGTTGATTTAGTTTTGCATTCACTGAATGCCAAACTGTTGAGCCAGTTGAGACCCCGGTTCGATGGTCATGTAATGACAATTTCTTCTCCTGCCTACATGTCTAGGAAGGTTCCACATATTATGCCTAACATCTGTACCCAGTGATTTAGCACTTCACACTTTTAGCCATGTAAATCGAGGACTAACAGACTCTAAATAAATATGTTGCATGTGATAAAACAAACAGGTTAATATGCCATATAGAAGTATAAAATGTGATTATAAAGATAAAAGTGATCAAATACCACATATAAGTGAAAAAACACAACCATTATGGCCAATACAAAATGATAAAATTGGATGCTTACCAGAACCCATCTGCTCATATACTACCAAGTAGCCATAAATGCTTGAGGGATAAATCCCAAACATGCCCGTGGTAAATTATGTACTCCAGCTGTTCACTTCAGTTCCAATCATATGGCACAAAGACATATATAAAATCAAAGCTCATGGTGCAGTATATCCTTAAAATTTGTATTTATTAAGTTAAAATAGTGCACTCACATCAAGTTGACAATAGACCAGCATATCAGTAAGCAGCAGTGCTAGAACATCCAGCTGGTGGCTACTGTAGGTGATGACTTCATGTAAGCCACCTCCCTACGCATTTCGTCATACACTTCTTGAGCACAACAGCACTTAAATTCATTGGACTTATTTGTTTTTTCACTTATATGTGGTATGTGATCACAATATATGTTATAGCACATGGTATATTCATATGCTGCATATTAACCATTTTATGTTTTATCACACGGAACATATTTATTTAGCGTCTTATGTTTGATATGCTTTAATAGCGCTTCACAGTATATACTGTTTATGGAAGGTTTTGTATCTGGAACCTTGAGCTGGCTGTTTTTTCTTTCAAATATGTATACACTATATTGCCAAAAGTATTGGGACACCCCTCCAAATCAATGGATTCAGGTGTTCCAAATACCTCCATGGCCACACGTTTAAAAAATTAAGCACCTAGGCATGCAGACTGCTTCTACAAACACTTGTGAAAGAATGGGTCGCTCTCAGGAGCTCAATGAATTCAAACGTGGTACCCTGATAGGTTGCCACCTGTGCAATAAGTCCACACATGAAATTTCTTTGCTACTAAATATTCCACAGTCAACTGTTAGTGGTATTATAACAAAGTGGAAGCAACTGGGAACAACAGCAACTCAGCCACCAAGTGGTAGGCCACGTAAAATGACAGAGCGGGGTCAGCACATGCTGAAGCGCTCAGTGTGCAGAAGTCAGCAACTGTCTGCAGAGTCAAAAGCTAAAAGACCTCCAAACTTTATGTGGTCTTCAGATTAGCACAACAACAGTGTGCAGAGAGCTTCATGGAATGGGTTTCCATGGCAGAGCAGCTGCATCCAAGCCTTACATCGCCAAGTGAAATACAAAGCACGCCGCCACTGGACTCTAGAGCACTGGAGACGTGTTCTCTGGAGTGACCAATCACGCTTCTCTTTCTGGCAATCCAATGGACGTGTCTGGGTTTGGCAGATGCCAGGAGAACGGTACTTGCCTGACTGCATTGTGCCAAGTGTAGAGTTTGGTGGAAGGGGGGATTATGGTGTGAGGTTATTTTCCAGGGGTTGGGCTTGGCCCCTTAGTTCCAGTGAAGGGAACTCTTAAGGCGTCAGCAAACCAAGACATTTTGGACAATTTCAGGCATCCCAATACTTTTATAGAGGGTGTTTAATATATATATATATATATATATATATATATATATATATATATATACACATACATACATACACATATACACACACACATATACATACACATATACACACACACACACACACACACCACAGTATATCTCTTCCTGGCACTCACTGGAACTAAAGATGTGGTTTGGGTAAGCTATAAAAAGTTTTCACTATTACAGAACAAGTCCAGTTGAAAGTGACCAACTACTGCTAATAACTTTTTTTCTTCTTGATTGATTTGGTACTTCAGCTGAGATCTTTCTAGGTAGGTAGGAAGGGCATAAAATGAAAAAATATTTTCTTGACATTCAGGTATTGCAGATCCATAAAATGTACATAGGGAAAGTTTGAAGACACGGGGCGCTAGCAACAGTAGTATTAAAATACAGTAGATACAAGAATAGGAAGAAATGATAGGGATACCTTCTTTTCATGTAGTGAAACTTGGTCTGATGAAATTTGAAAGTTATAGTTGAACAAAAAATGTCCTATGTGTGTTAAAGGTTTGTGATTTAAGCCTTGTCTGTCATTCAGTTGTCCAACTTTCTATTCACAAGTAGATACAGCTTGCCTTTCAGAAGCTCTGATGCATGGATTCTCCCTCGTATATACTAGTGCAATCACATGCCATAAAAACACCATCTTTTCCAGCTGCTGTAGACATACATCTGATCATTCAGGCCCAGATATTTTTTAGACAGGCCACAAAGACTACGACCTAACTGTGTTATTAGTGAATAAGCAGGACTGGCCTGCCACAAATCAAAATCAACCCGTAATGTTAAAACTGCAGGGGAGAACCTAACATTAGTAGCCAGAATCCATGTCAGACGTACTGGTGGTAGGCCATGGTATGCACCCTGTCAGTTTTTAGTGGTAGCTTAGCTAGCTTACACCCCATAATTATTTTACAGGTTGAGAGACTGCTGTGATCTGGTTGCACATCCTATAGCTCAGCTACTGCTTGGACACTTTACACATTACTTAACTCTTTCATTATCAATATTGAGTATATATGTACATTTACCTGTCTCTAGTGACTTCACTGGCATCTCGCCCGACCACGATGCTTCCACTTGTGATGTAGACCGACATGCTGGGATGTTCTATAAGGAGGTCCTCCAGTGGACTGCTTCCCACCGCATTTTGGCCAGGACCCTCTGCAGTAAAACAGGGGGGAGGGGTAACAAACCAGCTCTCGTCCATCGAGTGGGGCGGGCGGGGGGGAATAGACCAACCGATCCTCTCACCCAAGGAGTGTGGCAGTGGGCTGGAAGCATCACTGTCCTCCTGGCCTTCTGCCACATCGTCCCTGCTTGAGGTTAATGTGTAGCTTTCTGATATGGTGAGGGAGTCAAGTTAGAAGAAAGGCAGTACACAAGCCATGGGACAAAGACAGATGGAGTACCACACACACAGTGTTCAAAAAGGGGAGATGGGGGAGGGGGGGGGGGGGAAAATGGGAGAAATGATGGAGAAGTTATTAGTTACAAATATAACTATACAAATCATTTTGATATTAAAAATCTGCTCTTACATTTTCTGGTTACAATCGGAGGACATGTACTAAATGATTAAATGTTTGTGGACACCTGACCATCACACCTACCTTATGGCCTGAGTACTGCATGTAAACACCTCTCCAGAATGATTAAGTTTGGGTAAAAGGTACTGCTAATACTGCAGCATACAGAGACTTAGACAATTGTGCGTTTCCAATTTTTGACAGTTGTGTGCTTGTGGGAACAGTTTGGGGAAGGCTCTACTTTGTTCCAGCAGCCCCTGTGCACAAACCACAAAGACATGGTTTGACCTATCTTTTTTTTTCCTATTGGCTCAACTAGATGGTCTTGTGTGTTTTTCATCCTATGTAACTATGGCCACTTAACCCTGACCTCAAGCCTACTGAACATCTTTGGGATGAACCAAAACACTGACTGTGAGCCAGGTCTTCTCATTGAACATCGATACTCAACCCACAAATACTCTTTTGGCTGCATAAGCAACAAAGTCCACAATGTGGCAGAAAGACTTCCCAGGATAGTGGAGGCTGGAATAGCTGAAAAGGAGGGGGTGGAGGTTAACTCCATATTTACGATCATGGCTTTGGATTGGGATATCCAATAAGCTCATATAGGATGATGGTCAGGTGTCCACAAACCTTTGGCCATATAATGTAAAACTATAGCAAAAGCAGACAACTTGCATGGGGTACAACAGATCAATGATACATATACAGAAAAAAAAGCCAAACACACCAATTTCAACAACCACTTTATCAATACCATGACAGGAGAATTATGCACAGTCCTCTTAAAAATCGTTATTTTAGTTATGGGCTGACATGCTAAAAGACACACTGGCTGAACCTGCTGCATTATTCCTATCTAAAGGAAAGTGGGAAGATCACTTTAACAGAATCTCTACGCATTTACCATACCCAGCATTCCCTACATCACTGTCTCCCCCCCCCCCCCCCCCCCACCAAAACAACATGTGACCATACATGTGACAATTTGATCACGTGCTCAATTTTGTCAAACGTTGCATAGTAAAGCGTAACCTAGGAGATGGGGTCACAAAAGCCAAATTCCCCCATATATGCCAGCTCTGGTCAGTGTATTCTGGTGGGAGGAGGTCCCCCTGACCAAATACTATAGCACAACGAGGGAGATTGCCGCATCAACATTGCTTGTGTTGATGCAGCGATCTGGCAGGTTTTTTTAATTTAGTGTGCTGGGTTGTGTAGGCGGCCTAAGTCACCCTAACACTGTTTGCCAAGCAGAGCTTCCTCTACTGAAAGGCTGTATGAGTACAAACATGTAATCCCTCAAATATTACTGCCAAAAAGAAGTCTTATGTACAGTACAGGGGAGGATTAATATCATGGAGTTTAAGGGTGCACACAACTGGATCTGTCTTACACCATACACGTCTTCTGTTGCTGAACAGAAGAGGTACTCTTACATTCTTCTAACCTCACTGTCAGGATGCCACTGACTTCTATCAGTGTCCGGTCGAGCACTGGTTAATCTTGTAGGAGGAGTTTTTATTCTCCGACTGTCTCATGAGGCTGCATAACCCCTGAGCCTCTGTCTGGACAGTGCTGATTGGCCCTGTGCTGATCACATGCACCCTCCCAAAAAAAAAAACAAAAAAAAAACAAAGAAAAAACAAAAAATAAAACACTCTCTAGCAATACACAGTAAACCGAGCATGTGCAGAATACCTCCTAGGGCTTTGTACTATAAACTGATGGATTGGGGACTATGGAAGAAGAGGAGGACCAGAGGAGCCAAGATCAAACAGCTTTTTTTTTTTTTTTTACACAATGCAGAGGATTAACCCCTTAGGTTCCACAGTGAGTATAACAAGCATGCTTTACTGCATATACAGACTGATTTTACTGTTGTGGGGTTAGTAACACTTTAAAGCAACTAACAAAAACAAACATGTTTTGTTGGCCTGACCCATTAAAGAGAATCTGTTGAAGACCTCTAGAATATCTGTGTGTGGGTCCCCATGACCTGACTACGAGTTCTGGAATATTTGTTTAACCAAGTATATTGTATGACCTTGTTTGCATATTCTTGACTATTTATGTTCTTGTGCCCTGGCTTACCTTTTTGGCCGATATAAATCAATAAAAACAGATTAAGTCATAAACAGAACCCGTCACAACTGGGATTAGGCAATCACATGAACTTGCAGTTTTAAGTCATTATAATTGTCCAGGATTACTTCGCAAAAGACTGCTCCCTAGTTTGGCTGTTTGGAGCCAGACTCTACAGACAGTCCTGGGTTTAGAGATCACCCTAAAATGGTGAGGAGGTCAAGCAGTTGGCAGTTGATAAGGTGGGCACTGTCTTGAGGGGAGAGAATGGAATCCCAGAGCATCCGTGGTCCAACCGATAGTGCTGGCAGCCAGGGGATAATCTGTAATGGGAGGAGGGGAGATCTGTACAGGTTCTGCAATCCTGACCCCATCACTCCGTGTATTAAGCACTCATGAACATGGTGATTTGTGAGATACTCATCCTGACCCCATCACTCTGTGTATTAAGCACTCATGAACATGGTGATCTGTGAGATACTCATCCTGACCCCATCACTCTGTGTATTAAGCACTCATGAACATGGTGCTGTGAGATACTCATCCTGACCCCATCACTCTGTGTATTAAGCACTCATGAACATGGTGCTGTGAGATACTCATCCTGACCCCATCACTCTGTGTATTAAGCACTCATGAACATGGTGCTCTGTGAGATACTCATCCTGACCCCATCACTCTGTATTAAGCACTCATGAACATGGTGCTGTGAGATACTCATCCTGACCCCATCACTCTGTGTATTAAGCACTCATGAACATGGTGCTCTGTGAGATACTCATCCTGACCCCATCACTCTGTATTAAGCACTCATGAACATGGTGCTGTGAGATACTCATCCTGACCCCATCACTCTGTGTATTAAGCACTCATGAACATGGTGATCTGTGAGATACTCATCCTGACCCCATCACTCTGTGTATTAAGCACTCATGAACATGGTGCTCTGTGAGATACTCATCCTGACCCCATCACTCTGTATTAAGCACTCGTGAACATGGTGATCTGTGAGATACTCATCCTGACCCCATCACTCTGTATTAAGCACTCATGAACATGGTGATCTGTGAGATACTCATCCTGATCCCATCACTCTGTGTATTAAGCACTCGTGAACATGGTGCTGTGAGATACTCATCCTGACCCCATCACTGTGTATTAAGCACTCATGAACATGGTGCTGTGAGATACTCATCCTGACCCCATCACTCTGTGTATTAAGCACTCGTGAACATGGTGCTCTGTGAGATACTCATCCTGACCCCATCACTCTGTGTATTAAGCACTCGTGAACATGGTGCTCTGTGCGTTACTCATCCTGACCCCATCACTCCGTGTATTAAGCACTCGTGAACATGGTGCTGTGAGATACTCATCCTGACCCCATCACTCTGTGTATTAAGCACTCATGAACATGGTGCTGTGTGTGTTATTCATCCTGACCCCATCACTCTGTGTATTAAGCACTCATGAACATGGTGCTGTGTGTGTTATTCATCCTGACCTCAGTACTTCTTGATCCTTGTGCTCTATACTGTGCATTTTATACTCCTGACCACTGCACTCTTTAGTCAGTGACTATGTTTATGAAGTTCTTCTTTAAAGGAGAAGTTCACATTTTAAGAACATGTTACATGCTCCATCTGTATTTAGAGTGGAACGTAACATATTCCAGATCCTGCAACCTCTCTCCCTGATCCCTGCCTCAGGGTGACGGTGGGGGATCCTCTCCCCGCACCCTCTGTCACAATTCAAAAAGAGTGTTGCGTGCGGAACTCTGCGCACATAGCTGCGTCATTCATTCACAATTACCTGTGAATGAATATACTACAACTACCATCAAACACCGCAGCTGACTATTATAGTTTTGAATGCACTGCAAGGTCACTGATGAGCGCCCCCTAGTTCATTCACAAGCCCTGCCGCTTTGCAACTCACAGTCCATATGCTGCAGGGCTTGTCTGCAGAGGCCCGATATTGCACACCCAATCCACTGAATATAGGTGCAATGCTTTCCAGACTCTTGCAGGAAATAATAAATGCAAAAATACACGCATTTATTACTTTTTTCTTAAAAGGTGAATTTATCCATTAAGGTGGGCTGTGTGTATCTAGTCAGACACATAGGGGTTGGGGCTGAGACACTCTTTGCTCACAGGTTTGACTGAATCCAATGGCTCCCACTGCTTTCAGCCAAACCTGTGAGAACAAGAAGAGATGCTATAGACGCGCACAGCGCTGGATCGAAATTGGGCTCAGGCGAGTATTTAGAGGGGCTGGGGGCAGCTACAATTGAAAGCTGTTTTTTTTTTTTTTTTTTTTTACCTTAATGCAGAGAATAAAACACCTTTTACCTTTACAACCACTTTAAATCAGGTCTCCTCCTCTACCAGACAGTGCTGTATGGCAGATCTGTGTTAATCTCAGGACTGGATGGACAGAAATACAAATCCTTTGGCAGGAAAAAAAAAAAAAAATCTCCCGTATATGTATATCAACTCTCTAGTTTGCGGTCAGCCAGGAGTTCTGCATAAAGAAATCTACTCTTTGGTTAGACCTATTCAGCATGCTAGAATTGATTTTATCTCAGCTTCAAGCCTGAATTATTCCCAGTTGTGATGATTTCTCTTTAAGCTTTGCAAACAGCTGATCCTGAGAAAGATATCCTGCCTGGAAACAGCGATGGGTAGCTTTTCCTTGACCATTTTCCATTACACGGTATCATGTGACAGTCAGCAGACGCATACTGGGCCCCGGAGCTAAATTTAAGGCAAACCTCTGCAGCACGGTTCCAGGAATGTTAATTGCTGCAGCTGAAGAGAACAAGCATTGAAGCAAGGCTAGGAAGGCAAGGAGGGGAAAGGGGGGCGGTAATGTAACTCTCCTTTATGTCTCACCTGGGATGTCAATAATAAGCCAGCCATCATCTTCCTCCTCGGAGACAAAAGCTTTGGGCTCTTCGGGTTCATTGGCTGGTCCCTCACTGAAGAATAGCCGGGTAAGACGCTGGAACATGTTTGGATCGGCCCCTGGGGAAGTACACTGAAGATTCTTCTGGGATGGGAAGTCGCGGTGGGGTAGGCGAGGGTCTAATGTGGTAGGTTGGGGTCAGCAAAGTCCCACAGAAGGATTTGTAAACATCGAGCTTCTGTATAACGAGATAAATAGCCCTGCAGGAAAAAAAAACAGAACATATTATAAGTCACCAGTTATGTCCCATCCCTTTGTAACCAGTTCTTCTGTATATAGAGAAACCTCGCTCACCTATTTATTTATTTCTGGTACTTATATAGTACTGTCAGTTTACACAGCACTTTACATATATATTGTACATTGACATCAGTCCCTAACCCTCAAGGGGTGTACAATCTAAGGTCCCTAACTTACATTCATACATACACATATTAGGGCCAATTTAGACAGGATCCAGTTCACCTACCAGCATGTCTTTGGAGTGTGGGAGGAAACTGGAGTACCCGGAGGAAACCCACGCAGGCACCGGGAAAACATGCAAACTCCAGGCAGGTGGTGCCGTGGTTGGGATTCGAACCAATGACCCTAGTACTGCCAGACCGAAGTACTAACCATTTAGCCACTGTGCTGCCTACCTATCACTGCACTCTGTACACAGTAACATTCAGGCCCTTATAACAGGCTCATCCAGTAGAAGCAGAAACAGAAGTATGGCGGGATGTACTGATCTGTAACATTCGCCCCTCCAGCTGTGGTCAGGCTGCTTCTCCCAGAATCCTTTGCTCCAGGAGCAGGCTGACCGTCATGGCTGTTCTCATGCATTACCAGCTGCCGTATAATTAACCACTTCAGCTCTCACACCTGTATATTTCCTGCAGATCGGAGCAATTTGTACATCTCTACTCTGGGCCTTTGTCCGTATTTAAACTATGATAGATAGATAGATAGATATATTTTAATTTTTTTTTGTAGCCAAAATAAAAAACAAAAACAAAAAAAAAAAAAAACACAAACAATCGGCACAAGGTACATAACCTACGATCAGAAGGTAGTGCTGCTCCTTTTAGGTGAAATCCTTCTCCATCCGTGACCTCCGCAGCAGAAGATTGCAGCAGCGGGGGGTCAGAGTGATTCTAAACCTCTTTTCTGTTTTCTTTAAAATAACAAATGTTATACTTACCTTCTCTGTGCAGCGGTTTTACAGAGAACAGCCCCAATCCTCTTATTTTTGGTTCCTCCACCAGCACTCTGGGCTCCTCTCCCCTGCTGAGTGCCCCCATAGCAAGCCACTTGCTATGGGGACACTCCACTCGTTTATGCTCACTCCTGAGCTAACTCTGTGTGTCCATTGACACACAAAGCTCAGCTTGGCCCCAGCCCTGGTCCTCTCTCCTCACTAGCTGTGATTGACAGCAGCAGGTGCTAATGGCTCCCACTGCTGCCTCTCTATCCAATGAGGAGAGAGAGCTGCTGCTCTCATGCTCATCGCTGGATCGGGATCAGATAAATATTTAGGAGGGGGGCATGCAGAAGGTTTTTTACCTTAATTTATTTATTTCAGGTACTTATATAGCGCTGTCAATTTATGCAGCGCTTTCTGTATATATTGTACATTCATATCAGTCCCTAACCCACATTCATACATACACATACTAGGGCCAGTTTTAGACAGGATCCAATTCACCTACCAGCATGTCTTTGGAGTGTGGGAGGAAACCGGTGTACCTGAAGGAAACCCATGCAGGCACAGGGAGAACATGCAAACTCCAGGCAGGTGGAGAGAATCAATTCAGGTAAACAACCTTCTGCCTCTTAGAATCACTTTAATACAACCAAGGGGCTGTCACAGGCTCTCATCAAGAGACGCCAACCATGCCCGCTCTTTCGGCCCAGCCAAGATCTGCCATTGCATAGGAAAGCACAGAGACTCCACAAGTCTCGGATTATGCTATCACGTGTAAACAGGTCATGAAAACAGAAAGGTTTTATTGATAATTATAAAGTCACTCCCATCGACACATGGACACAGACAAACAGCTATTTCTTCAGAGCAACAAAAAGGTAGGAATCTGCAACTCCACAAAAGTGGATTACTCTTTAGGCCCCTGGCCCACAGGGCCATCTAGATGGAGCACATCAATCACGGCACAGCCCTGTCCAGCTGCAGTCTGTCATGGACTCTGACAGTCCACAGGGCTGGGCGCGGCATGTGTCCTTTCCAGGCGCACTAAAACGCCAGGTAGAATGCACTGCTTCTAGATGACCCCATGTCATCGAAATATACATTTAGTTTTCAAACCTAAACTGCCATGAACGCAATTTTCTAATCTGGACACAGGAATGCACGGTACATTTATATAGGTGTTACAGCAGGTTACCAAATTCCACCGTTAGTCCTGAGTATTCAGAGACTGGCATTTCTATGTAGAGCAAGGACCAAGCTTCACTAATCTCCTTATTACTCAGCCCGTGACTGGCACAGAGACCTCCTATTAAAAAGAAGTCATCAGTCTGACCTCAAAGGACACAAGACTGGCGAACTGGCCCTCGCCTGCTTAATCTGAAGCCCGAGTAACATGGCTGCTGCTTGGTTTACACGCTAAGAAACGGATGGCTGCTCCTGAGTCCGTACCGACTGACAGCACAGCAGTGTTCATCTGAGTCGGGGTGCCGGACTATGGATGGATCCCATGATACAGGACATGTAGGACTGTTATGTATGGATCCCATTATACAGGACATGTAGGACTGTTATGTATGGATCCCATTATACAGGACATGTAGGACTGGTATGTATGGATCCCATTCTACAGGACATGTAGGACTGGTATGTATGAATCCCATTCTACAGACATGTAGGACTGGTATGTATGAATCCCATTATACAGACATGTAGGACTGGTATGTATGAATCCCATTATACAGGACATGTAGGACTGGTATGTATGGATCTCATTATACAGACATGTAGGACTGGTATGTATGGATCTCATTATACAGACATGTAGGACTGGTATGTATGGATCTCATTATACAGACATGTAGGACTGTTATGTATGGATCTCATTATACAGACATGTAGGACTGTTATGTATGGATCTCATTATACAGACATGTAGGACTGGTATGTATGGATCTCATTATACAGACATGTAGGACTGGTATGTATGGATCTCATTATACAGACATGTAGGACTGGTATGTATGGATCTCATTATACAGACATGTAGGACTGGTATGTATGGATCTCATTATACAGACATGTAGACTGGTATGTATGGATCCCATTATACAGACATGTAGGACTGGTATGTATGGATCTCATTATACAGACATGTAGACTGGTATGTATGGATCCCATTATACAGACATGTAGGACTGGTATGTATGGATCTCATTATACAGACATGTAGACTGGTATGTATGGATCCCATTATACAGACATGTAGGACTGTTATGTATGGATCCCATTATACTGGCATGCTGACCCTGTCAAAATGCTAGTTGTCTGGCTGTTACTGACCCAGAACAAGTAAGGCCGGCCATTCACTATACGATTCTCTTACAATTTTCTGTCCAATTTCCTTTAGATTTACCTTCAACTATGTAGTGCAAGAGCCCACCTAATTGGATACAATTGAACGTGTTGTTTAGGTTTGACCTCCTATTATAAGGTTTGTGGTAAATCTAAAGAAAATTTCTAAAAAAAAAAAAAAAAAAAAATTGTATAATGTATGGCCAGCCTGAGAGTCTATGGAGTTATATTAGTTATATATTACTCTAGTTCCCGTGTTGCAGGTGTGAGGATGCAGTTGTAGGTATAAGAAGGCACCTTATATCTGCCTGTAGTGTTTGCTGGTCTTTCATTTTAGTGACAGAGTTGTTTTAAAGTGGAACTCCAGCTATAAAAGCATAATGTGTGAGCACCCCACAGTGCAGAGGTATCCCCAGCCCAGGACGCCCTCCAGGGGGTGTGTTCATGACAGCCTGGGTCCAAAGGAGTGCAGAAGGGATTGATCCTCTCTCAGGTCTATATTGTTGTCTGTGTACCAACTTGGGATATTCCCCCCTCAATTCCTGTTCTGGAGTCACCAAAGGCACACACTTCCCAGTTTCCTTCTCTGATGCAAATTCTCCGTTTCTCTACAGAATCCAGTAGGATATTCAGTAAGTGGTCCCAAAAAAAAGTGTATGGAGGATTGACTTTGCAGGTGTTGCCAGATCAAAAAAGATTTCATGGCAGTGTATAAATATACCAGAGGACTACAGCCATTGCATACAGCCCTGGTGTCCAACCTGTGGCCCCTCTGGCACTTTTTGTATGGCCCTCAGGGCAACTGCAAACACCAGTAATCTCTAGTAATCTCATGTAACTTGTCCCCAGTCTCTGACCATCTCTCGTGCATCACCGCCGCAGTCTCTGACCATCTCTCGTGCATCACCGCCGCAGTCTCTGACCATCTCTCGTCGTATCACCGCCGCAGTCTCTGACCATCTCTCGTATCACACCGCCGCAGTCTCTGACCATCTCTCGTATCACCGCCGCAGTCTCTGACCATCTCTCGTATCACCGCCGCAGTCTCTGACCATCTCTCGTATCACCGCCGCAGTCTCTGACCATCTGCATTCTTTGATTATATCTTGCCGTGTGTCTGCTGTTTCTGAGATTGAATATTCATTTAATTTTATGTGCGGCCCTTTGGTGATGTCAAAGGCTGCACTTGAGGCCCTCCATATCAATAGAGTTGACCACCGTTGGCATTCAGGCAGGTAGATGTATTGGGGGGGGGGGGGGGGAGATGTTCAGCTTCAGCTACTGAGCTCTGTACTCTGTTTTTCGCAAAAGCAAGTAATGCTATCCTGGAAACAAGTGAAAAGGAGCCTAGAACTACACCTGCTGGCTGGAAATGAAAATACAATTTATATGATAAATATATATATAAAACGGTATTTTTTTTCCCCATTTAAAAACTTTATACACAAGATACTCTGCACATTCCACAAGAAAAAAGAAGAAGATACAAACCACTTTCTGCTCAAGG